GAATTATCAATGAAAACGGAAAGAGAATGATGGAATTCTGCACATCAAACGAACTAAGAATAACCAACACATTTTTTGTTCATAAAATTCAACACAAATACACATTTGAAAATACAAGAGGACAAAGATCAATGATAGATTATGTGGTCACAAACATAAATATTTACCATAAACAGATAGTGGATGTGAGAAGTTTGACGTCACCCAATGTGGGAAGCGATCACTATTTGGTGCTTGGTAAAATTAAATTCAATGAAAGATAGAAAGAGAAGCTTAAACAAACCAATTTAAAAGAAATAATAAAAAAAGAAAATTTAAGAGATAACTATATAATCATTATATTAAAAAGGGCTAGAACAGAAAACAAAAATGGAGAATATCGAAAATGAAAGCAATGTAGAGACTAGCTGGAGAAAACTTCCGAATGCTGCCCGAGAAGCCCTTTGAATGAAAATAATAAACAAAAAGTTGTCAACAAAAACACTATGGTTTACACTAGAAGTTAAACAAAAATTGTATTATTGGATCGAAACTAAACACGCACACAGTAATTTGCTTGACATATATTATATAGACTTGGAAGTTCATAACGTTAATATGAAGAAAATGATGAGAATGGCGAAAGTATGAGTAAAGCGTGAAAAAAGTAGAATAAAAACTTGCATATACTCAAAGTGAAGAACCCAAATTGAAAACTTTGTTCTTTTGTTACTATTTTATTTATAAGATGGCTTTCAAAACTTACGTCAGGATTTCTTTTGTAGTTACATTCGGCAAATCTGAACATCTTATCAGGAACAGACATATTTTCTGAAAATTGATAATAATTAGTAAATGTTGTTAATAAATAATCCTGTAATAAAAGTATATTACTTTATGAGGCAGAGAAGCATGACTTTTCTTATAATAGAGGGCAAGTCAAGAAAAGTCGCTTCTTTGCCGAATAAAGTATACTATTTTTTCTTCAAAGGTAGCAATTATCAACCATAAATTTACTGTTTGTATTTTGAGAACGATTTCCGAAGTGGAAATTGAAACGTAATAAACGTATTTTTATCTTTAATTGTGGCTTATTCCCAGTTTAATAGTAATTAATAAATGGTACAATTTATACGCTATTTTTATTCGAAATTAACTGTGACAACTATCAAAGTCGTCTAGATGTTAGAAATTAAAATAATTAAGTCGTCGGTGGGATTTGCGTCTCTCTGGTTACAGTTGTTTGCAATTATTAAAGACAGCTTATTGTTGTTGCAACCGCAAGAGCAAATTTAGTGCGAAAATGGAAAACCCAAACGAAATTGAGTCCGCGGCTAATGATGCAGTAGCACGTTTGGGGCCCTCCAAGTCCGGAATAAAGTATCGGTTAGCGTACAATCACTTCCAAGAGTGGTGCGATACAAGAGGAGTACGGCAAGTTACCGACTACGTTTTACTGGCATATTTTAGTATAATGGAAAATGAAAATAAATGGAAATCTTCAGAATGTGGTCACGATACTCTATGATAAAATCCGAGTTAGTTATTAGAAAAAATGTGGATATAAGCAAATTTTTAAAGTTACGTGCCTTTCTGAAAAAAGCAAGCGAAGAATATACTGCAAAGAAGTGTAAAGTTCTCACTAAAGACGAGTTTGATAAATTTTTGTTTGAAGCGCCAGATAAGTTGTATTTAGAATTAAAGGTAAAAAAATTATATTGCAAACCATGTAGTATACTCTACTAAATTATAAAAATATTTCAGATTGTTTTGTTAATTGGGGTTACCGGCGCCTGTCGATGCGACGAAATGGTAAAAATGAAGACTGTGGACATTGAGGATAAAGAAAATGTAATAATTATTATCAAAATCTCAAACAGTAAAACACGACAAATTAGATCTTTTACGATAATTATTGGTCAAAACTACATTAAACTGTATAAAAAGTATGCATCACTGCGGCCTGAAAATTTCACAGAAAACCGATTTTTCGTCAAGTACCAAAATGTAAAGTGTTACCGAAGCATGGGAATGTCATGGGAATACATTTGATTAGCGCAGTAGCCCAAAAAGTAGCTAGTTATTTAAATACTCTTTACGACGAACTTCAGCAACACTTTTAATTGATGGAGGCGGAAATCTAGAATGCCTCAAACGACATGGGGGCTGGAAATCAAGCACGGTTGCCGAAGGATGTATAGAGGATTCAATAAGAAATAAGAAAGATAATGCTCAAAAAATTTTAAACCCTTATGATTCGCCAACATCGGGAATGATTGCTGAAAGTTGTTCTCGACCATCAGTATCATTAACAATTACCAATGCGTATCAAGAGTCGGGAACATTTTTGCACGGTTTCAATTTTGAAAATGCCTCATTAACTAATTTTACTTTTAATATTACTATAAATAAAAATGATGTTTAATTGTTGTTAATGACATTTGTATTGTTGCTTTGTGACATGTTTCATATTGTTGCCATGACAACATTTTTCCCTCCGCCGTAAAGAAATGGGAAAAAAACTGCTGCCGGCGGAGACATCAAACTTTGACAGGATCAAGTTAGATAAGTAATGTCATCATTATTTGACGTTTGAAGAAAAAAGTTTTTATCGTATTTATTTCGTCTTTATTAACCCACGTGGTGAATTAATTTTACACAAACGACGTGGTAGAGTCCCTGGTACTCCAAGTTGTCAAACTGACAATTTGTATTCTGAATGTTATATTAGAGTTATTGAAAGGTAAAAAGACATTTAAAGAAAGCATATTTATTATAAACAGTTAAACAATACAAAATAATACCAACTTCTGCTACATTGCAAACAGATCAGTTGTTTACAGTGTATACATAGAAAACTTGTCTTCTTTTTCAATTTTGGGTTACATAAATAGCAGTACTTCCTAGCGTTTCTGAGTATGGTATCTGATCGTCATTTTCAGTTGGATTTATTCTTAGCACCTTTTGAATTCTGAGACTTAGTTCTCTTAGAAAACATTGGATAATTTCTCGTTCTCGAAGAAGTGGTTCATATAGTTGCTGTGCCAAAATCTTCAGAAACTCTAATCTTATTCGCTCCGTGCGGGACTGATGCGACAGCTACCGCCTTCATCTGACAATTTTGGAGTCCCAATTTTCAGGTTAAATATATGACATATGTTTGACATTGTTAAATACATGCGAAATTGACAATTATTAATAAATTAGTTTTTTAACTATATTTTTTCAGTTTATGTACAAAATAAATGTAGTATTAAAAACTGAGTTTCTCAAAATTCATCATAATATATCTTTTCAACTCCAAACGGAAAAGAAAGGGAAAAATCTAGTACTGGCAAATCAAGTTTTTCACGCAAAAGAGCATATAATTAAAAACAATAATAGTAAAATTATGATATAAAAGCTAAAGTCATCTGCAGTTAGATTGAAGCCTTATGAAATATCATTCAAGGTAAATTATTTAAATTTTTCTTATTTCAATTGCATAAAAATGAAATTATGTGATATTTACTTATTAATAGCACGAATTCATCTTTTTCTTTTCCCTAATTTATATGTAATCTTTGGGAACCTATAAAAACTACACTCACTGTTTTTGCTATTATTAGCAGAATTAAATACGCAACATGTATTTGCACACATTTTTGATAAAACATGCGTAAAAATATTTTGTCCAACATTCCAATTTTGTCATATTTCGCCGCTACGCACGCTGGCATCGTTTCAATGTACCCCTACCATGGTCACGCACGGAGCGAATATATTTTGGTTTTGTTGACACAAAACTGGTGAATAATATATGCATCCAATGCACTCAATGATTATTTTTTAAAATATGACCATCGGCCAGCGCCTGGTTCTTCGAATGCACGAGTATTTTGTGCAATTTTCGTCTACTGAATCTACGCCTGCATTTGTATTGTTATAAAAGCATTTATTTCTGGTAAACCAGTTTCAATATTGTCTTTCGTGTGATGCAAAGAGGATATTAAAAGCACAGCTCTATTTTTCTTTGGCACTCGAGAGATTATAGTTTTAGTTTTTGTAAATCCTTATAAACTTGAGTTTACAGATCTTGATCTAGATGGTAGGGACTCTATGGAAATTTCTCTCTTATTCTTTTTCATAGTGCCAACATATGTTAAAATATTATTTAATAAAACATCTACAAGTTCCATTGATGTGTACCAGTTGTCGCCTATAACATTTCTATTACTACCAAAGATCGGTTTGCAAAGGGAACCACTGCTTGGAAGTGAATAGAGAGTTTTTTTTCTTCTGCAGTCAAATCGAATACATATATATATATATATATATATATATATATATATATATATATATATATATATATATATATATATATATATATATACATAGATAAAAGAAGGTAACCGGGAACGACCCAATACTAAGGAAGCAATAAAAAATGGGTGCTTCAAAGTGAGTGTCTTTTATTAAAAGTCAAGCTTTCGCCACATAATTTTGGGCTTCATTAGAACTTGCTGTAATGGAAAAACATTCTTTACAATCATCGTAATTAAAGATGTTATTTTTAATATTACCTTAACGTTGACATTAGTTCTTAGAGTAAATTATTGTAGATGTGGAACTACACATTGTTTTTCAAACACAAGATGCGTTTTGGTTTGTGTTTGGAAAACGATGTGTAGTTCCACATCCACATCTACCATAATTTACACTAAGAAATTATTGCTAACAATAAAAAAGTGCTATTTCTACATTATGTAACTTTTACAAATGCTGTAAAACCCATTTGCACGTCCATGTACGTTTTACACTTGTAAATAAAGCCATTACAAGCTCAGTAACTATTGTTTAGGAGGCTCTTTAAAGCCCTTATTAATATGGAGCATATTAAATACTGGTTTTAAACGAAAATTTCACACTCCTTTACACATTCCTTTACCGCACGGGCATCTCAAATGAGATAGATTAACTATAAGGAAATTTCCCAAGACGACAAGCGAGTCTTCCTATCTTTCCTGATTGTTTTATCTTACTATTTTTTTGTTTGATTCAGTTTTAGGGATTTTTATGAAGTTTTTCGAATCGAATAGATACACTTTTTGCACTAGCAATAATTATTAGTGTAGTTACACACATTTTTATTTGAGTAGATACTTATGAATTATATTAGAATATTAAAATTAGTAATTTGTCATTTATTAAAGGGAAAATATCGCAAGTCCTAAAGCCACAAAAAAAGTCTATACTTACTTTTTTGACTAAATTGTTTAGCACACAACAAATAACCGATATATTCATCTTCCAAAACTTTCTTGGGTAAATAGAGATCCAACATTGCCTTGTTGAGAACCATATCAGTGTTCATCTGAAAAAAACAACTATACTTAATAGATTTATTAAAAGAAAAAACCTTGGACTCTCAGTACTCCCAAACATAATACACGTGAGTGAAAAATAATTGAATCAAAAGCAATATTTGAGATTACACCTTCTATTTTAATGTAAGAAGTATAAAGGTAACAAGATGTAAAGTGCAAACAATGACTTTATGTTTGAACTTACAAAAACTGCTATTGCATTATTGGGAAGACGCATTATAAAAACAATATGCAGACAATGAGTTTTCCGAATATTCATCATGGAACTAACTCAAAAAAGTCGTTATAAGCAAAGAAATCATCAATTACAAAATGACTTTTTCATTTATCAGTATTTCATATTACCACTCCTATTCCTAATTGCACTTTCCAATCGATTTCGCATGGATCGGATGACTTTTCTAATAAATTCTCGAGGCGTTGCTTCCCATTCATCATTAAGCGCAGCTCTCAGTTCCAATATGCTCCTTTGTGCATGATTTCTGTTCCGGACCCTTTGCTTAAGCTCATACCAAACATGCTCTATTTGATTTATGTCCGGGCTCAACGCAGACCAATTTATTGTAGGTATACCGATCTCATTCAGATAGGTGGTGGTGACTCGTGCGGTATGGCATCGTGCATTATCGTGCAATAAAATAAAGGCATTACCAATAAATCCCACGTATGGAACCACATGTTCCTCCAAAATGTCTCTGGTACGAAACTCTTCACGTCCTCCACCAGGTACGAAACCTCTGTTCAAATCCATGGAAATGCCAGCTTAAAACATACAAGAACCACCTCTATATGACAGAATTTCTAATATACAAGAATACAATATATAGAATCGACGCCTCTTGTCGTTACCATGTGGGCAGAACCTACTTTCTTTGGAGAATAATACCTGACTCCATTGATAGTCGTCCCAATCTAGATCTTTGCTTAAATTGACAAAACTTATAATAATTAGCAAAAGAAAAACAAACGATGAACTCGACGAACCAATCCCTTGTAGAAAGAGTGGCGCACTATATTTACCTCGGCACCATAGTAAATAAAGAATGGACCAACAATCAGGAGATTAGAGCACGCATCAGAAAAGCTAGATCCACCTTCAATCGGAAGGACACTTCTAGAGTCACAACTTCTCTTGTGATACAAAAGAAAGAAGGCTGCGATGCTACATCTTCACTGTCCTTTTTTATGGAGTTGACTCGTGGACTTTAAACGAAGATATGTGCAGAAAACTGAAAGCATTTATGATGTGGCTATATCGGAAAATACTTAAAATCCCGTGGACAGATCTTTTTATGTCTGAAATCATAATATAAGGAAAGCATGTAAAGTATTTTAGCGGAGGTGTTGGGGGGGGGTGGCAGTGGTTGGTAAATTTTTTTTGGTTAGAGTAGTATTGTTAAAAAAGTCTGGACGTTACTAAAGTTGTGATTGATAAGAGAAAATTCAGATGTATGGCTTGGCTTTAGATCAGGGGTGCTTAAACTTGATTTGCCGGCGATCTACCTCAATATTTTTAGACTACTTACGATCGGCTCTGAGAGACTGCAAATGTGTGTGATGCAGGGTTATCGTACATACACGATACACCCTACCTACCTAGGTAGGGCGTACCGTAGCTATAGATATTAGCTTTCTGCACAATATAGGTACATTATTTTAGTCAAGGTTTGGGTTAGGCTTAGTTAGGTTCTTCTTAACAATATCAATGAAAAAACTCATAGTTATTCAAAATTGCGAGTTTATTTGTTGTTACAAAACAAAAGAGTTACATATGGTGTTAAACTTAACTAAGGAGTGGCTTTGGATGTTGAAGCGTGGCACTGCATGTCCTCAGCATAATTTTCATAAGATGGTACGTAACCACTGAGTGCTAATCGCAAGTATGATGTCATATGATCGTCAGTTAGTCGATTGCGATATTTTGACTTAATTATCTTCATTTCAGAAAATACAGACTCGCACAAGTAAGTTGACCCAAAAAATGCCGTCAGTTGAAGGGCGATTTGCCTTACATTCGGATATTTATCTTCAGATATAAAACGCCAAAAATTTGCATCAGATACTGTAGCTTTGAGATGTATATCTGATATAATCTGCACCAACTCATTTTCAACAGAACATGAGTTCATATTAAACTGACTTGCTATTTCAGTAGATAATTCCTCAATGTTTTTACATGAAAAAGGATAACTCATAAATGATGCTATGTTTTCCAATTTACTGCAATCATAAAAACGCATTTCGAATTGTCCCAAAATATTTGATAATTCAGCCTCATACGTATCATAATTCAACTGAGGAATCCTTGCTTTCAAAGACGGAAAATATTTCAGATCCTTTTTTTTTCAGTTGATCTAGCATAAGTTGCAATTTACTTTTGAATGCGTTTACTGCGCTAATCATCTCAATAATAGTTTTTCCTTTACCTTGAAGCTCCAAGTTAACGGTGTTTAAGTGCATTGTGATGTCAGTCAAAAATGCCAAATCATTTAGTCATTTTTCGTTTTTCAAATTCTGAGTGTCATCACCTCTTTCGCCTAGAAAAGCTGTTATTTCGGGCAATAATTCTCGAAACCTTTCTAGGAATTTTTCGCGACTCGACCATCTGACGTCCGTGTGAAGAACTAAATCAGTGTGTTCAGCTGACTCCCTATCTTCCAACTGCAACTGAAAGAGCCGCCGTTGCAAACTACGTGCACGAATGGAATTCACAATTTTTGTTGCAATGCCCATAATTTCCTCCGTGTTTAAAACTTTTGAACCAAAACTTGTTGATGTATAATGCAATAAAATGAAAAAAATGAAGGGAATTCTTCATTAGCTCGACACAATGCCACAAAACCGTTTTTGTTTCCAGTCATTGCTGGTGCTCCATCGGTTGTAATGCACATTAATTTATATATTGGTAGCTCGTAGTTTTTTACAAAATTTAAGAAAACGTCATATATATCTTCGCCACGGGTCTTCCCCTTCAGACGAATGATTGTCAAAAATTCTTCCTTAGCCAACATGTCATTGAATACCATCCGAATAAAAATACACAGCTGGGCAGTGTCTGCCATATCGATGGATTCGTCGAACTGTAAAGAAAGGTATGTACATTCCATGATATCATGTTTTAGTTTATCTGCGATGTCTTGACTCATGACTTCAATACGCCTTGTGACAGTCGGACGAGATAACTGAAGTTTTCTAATAGCAGACATGATTTCTGTTTTATTTTGAAAATCTCCAAATAAAGTCTCACCCGCTTAAATAAATGCTTCCTTCACCACCGATCCATCTTCAAATGGTTTCTTGTGTTTCGCCAAAATATGAGATATTTTAAATGACGCGATCGTAGCAGCTTTTGATTGTTTGGCTGGTCTTGTGAACATGGATTGTTCTTTTTTCAAACAAGATATCAAATCACTTACTTTTCGTTTTCTTAATTCACTCTGTGGCGGAAAATCCTTTTCATAGTTTTTATGAACCGTTTTATGATGCCTCTCTAAGTTACCACGCTTAGGTATTGCAACTGACGCACGACAAATAACACAAATGCACTTATCCTTCACCATAGAAAAGAAAAATTCTTCCTCCCAATCCTTATTAAAATGATACGTTTTAGATTTCTTCACTGCACTCATTTTCCACTATTTAATAATAAACTTTGTATCGACGTAGGATCGCTATCAAGTTACAATTCAGAATAACTAAAATTCCTGCAGGCGCAACATTTATATCGGCGTGAACGAAAGTCTCGAATGTTTCCGTCAAACGCGCCGCCCGAAACTAGACTGTACTGTCTCTCGTCTAGAAAAAACACGGCTTTTCTTTGACAAGTGCCGCGCGTTCCTTTGATAAAGCCACCTTTTACCGCAAGCAGTGTTATTTTATTACGTAATACATTTTTGTAGTTGATAGACTATCATCCCAAATTTGATTAATAATTATAATAAATATAGAATTAATAAAATAATTAGTTAATATATGTAAATATAAAATATGCTGTGTGGACAGTATTTTGTTGTCCCACTTCTTTGAATTGCAATGACGCTTAGTCAAGCATTCTATGTATTTGTATAGTTCAGTATTAATAAAAATTTTTTTCTTCTTGAGATCTACCCAAAAAGCACTCGCGATCGACCAGTCGATCGCGATCGACCGTTTGAGCACCCCTGCTTTAGGTGGACCATCAAAATTATCTAATTATGTGAATGTGGGAATTACGTAATTATGGGAATGTATATGAGTAAGGGATTTATTGTGTTATTGTGAATGGCTTATAAATGGGAAATAGAATGGTTTGATCTGAATTTAATTATGTAGCAATGCTGTATGTTTAAAGCAGCAAGTTCTAAAATAAAAATAGCCGTTATGATTGCCAACCTCCGTAGGGAGATGGCACTCTAAGAAGAAGAATGTGTATAATGAACATTAGGCATAAAAGTCAGAGGTGAAGTTTAGAATACTGGAAAGAAGTGGGAAGTGATGGAAAAGTTAGATGTATTAAGAAAGAGTGATTTGAAGTGGGCTAAGAAAGATGAATAAATGACAAAAAAAGATAGATTAGTGTAAGTTTTGATATTACAGTAAACATTTAGAATATAGGTCATTCGAACAGTTAGCGCTGGAGAAGAAGGAAGTCTCGATTGAATGAGACATGGCGATTAACACAATTCGGACTTCTCTGCTTTTCTTTAATAATTTCAAGATCAAGTCAAGGTTACTTAACTTATATGAAGATCTTTGAAGTGTTTATACTTTTAGGATAGCACTGATGATGAAATATTAATTCTGAAAACGTTTTGTGATGTAGCCCGATAGAGTTTTTAATATTATACCTTTTATAAAGGAATTTTTAAATATTTTTTTTGTTACACATGTTATATAAACTTTAAGAGCATTGGTTTTTTATTTTTCATTAAGTCTTAATTTATTGTTTAAATCCAAAACTTTATTACTATTACTATAAGTAGACAAACTGTCAGCCTATACCATGTTT